GGTCAACTCCTGGCATTTTTATTCAAGATTAAAAAAAATATATATTTTTTGCCTAATTTATGCCATATCTTTTACTGAGCTAAAAGTCTCCTACTTTATCACATCATCTATAAGATTAGTACCATTGCATTATTATTTTTTTGACCAGTCTTCCTGAAAGTTTGCTGTAAAGTTTCTGCTCAGTTCCAAGCAGTGAATAATCATATTGCTTCAATAACAGATGCCTTCTGTTCTTAGTGGAAGTCTCTTTCCACTAGCAGGTAACAGTTGTTGAATGTTTACTGAATGAATTGAATATCTTGTGCTTTCAGGAGATATTCTGGGTCCTTCCATCAATGGCTTAGCCTCATTGATTCGGATGCCTTATGGCTGTGGTGAACAGAACATGATAAATTTTGCTCCAAATATTTATGTTTTGGATTATCTGACTAAAAAGAAACAACTGACAGACAATTTGAAAGAAAAAGCTCTTTCATTTATGAGGCAAGGTAAGCATTTTAGAAACCTACTTTTATTTGTAAAAAAAAGTTTTGTTTTGTTTTTTTTTCTATGCAGGGTTCACTCTAGGCCATATTTCAGAATAGACAGATTTGGTCTTTGGTGTGTGATGGTGGAGCTAGATGGTGTTGGAATGTGCTGAAAGTATAAGCACTGGGGAGCTGTTACCATTCTTCCTTCAGATAATTGTTCACTGATTGCTGCTGAGATGTTTGTTAGCAATGGCTTAAGGAGTTAGTTTCTGGAGGGATTTGCATTATAATAGGGGATCTGAAAACTCTAAAAATCTAAAGGAATGAGTGTTCATTTATTCGTTACACATTTATGGAGAATCTCTTAGTACTAGGAAACAGAGGAAGTGAGGGCATTTCCTCCTATGGAATTCACTGTTCAGTGGAGAAGATAGTCTGTATATAAACACACATGATGTCGTGTGGCAGGGAACTTCTTGGTGCATTTAAAATGTCAAGCAGATGGGAGTTAAGAGAGAAATGTTTGTATGGAAAGGACCTGCTGGCCCCTCAGGAAATACCATGCTGGTGATGACTGTTCCCTGACTTCTTGAGAGGTGGAAACTTCACAGACAGCAGATGCTTTATGTTGGCAACTTGGTAATAACAGTTAACATGAGTTGAGTGCTTACTATGTGGCAGGCAGTTGTTCTGAGCACTTTACGTCAGATATCTCATTTAACGCTCACAATTAGTATTAGCATTTTTTACAGATGAGGAAGTAGAGGCACAGTAAAGTTAATTAACTTGTCCAAGGTCATATAGCATGTAAGCAGCAGAGCTGGGATTTGGACTCAGTATCTGGCCCCAGAGTCTGTGCCCTTAATGTTCACATCTAGGAGAAAATGAAGAGTTATGAGACATGTTTAGTAATAATAATAATAATAATAATAATAATAATGTAAATTTGATTTCCTGAAATACGTCAGAAAACAGCTCAAAGTTATAGCCTCAGTTTTGCATTTCCTCATTAGGGGACCTCTGGCAAGATCTCTGTTTGGCTTTTTTTGTCTGCATGATTTGTGTGATATATGTTGTCCATCAAACTCAGGAGGGTTAGAAGGGTTTATAGAAAGTGATTGGGAAATGCTTATTCAATATAATCTAAGAAAAATATAGTTCAACACTTTCTAACTCTTAAGTTTTTTGTTTGCTTTTATAATGAATGGGTTAAATGCAAAATACAGGCAAGCTGTTAGATGTTTTACTAACTTTTCCACGGAAAAATTAGAAAACTCAGTAAAGACGCCATTTAAATGTGAACTTTTCTTCCAGGTTCCCTTATTATAGAGACTTGCTTATCCTCAAATAAATTCTATGTAATAATAGTCATAGCAACTAACTGTGATTAAAATCTTTAAACATGTTTCATTTAATTCTCACAAAAACCTTAGGAGGTGTGTGTACTGTTATTATTTCCATTTTACAGATGAGGAAATTGAGGCACAGGGAGGTTAAATAAATTACTCATGGTTACCCCCAAGTGGTCTGGCTCCAGAGTCCACGCTCTTCCTCAGAACACCGTGGGATAATTCTAGTTTGCACTGTTCTTGGGTTGTTAGAAGCAATGGGATAGGATGGGAGAGGACCAGGAATTGGTCTAAGATGCGTGGGTACCACCATCGTGGAAGAGGTCTCAGTGGGGGTTCTGATAGAATAATGAGGAAGAAACACGGGGTCCTGTAGGAGAGGAGACACCAAGGGTTAGAATCTGGGGTGTCAGATGAGACTGAGTGAGCTGTAAGGTGTTGGGTTCAAGTAGATGAGCTGGAATCTGTGTCCAAAGATCCCCCCGGTTAGGATGGCACAGATGAAGGAGAGTAGAAGTCAAGGGTGGCAACGCAGGGACAATGCCATGCATGAAAGAACAAATCAAGGGACAACAGGGTTTGGAACTAGGGCCAAGCGTGACCTGAGTGCTGATGTGGGGAAGGACATAGTAGTATACTGTCCCTCAGATTAGGGCCTGGCAGACACTACGGATGGCCCTCAAACCCCACAGGTGGTTAGGTCCTCCAGGAGATTGTCAAAGATCTAGCAGTTGGTATTTTCTGTACACACTTGTCCATCTAAATTACCCTCTTTCATATGTATGTTTGTGGATCAGTCATATTTTAAATATGTACATATAAGACCTGCTTTTCCCAAATTTTATTATAATTAAGTTTTAGAAGTGGTACCAAGTACTCTCTGGTAGATTGTGTGCCATGCTAAACACATGTGAGATCTTTATACACAGGCATAATGGTTATAATTAAGAGATGAGTAAACAGTATTTGGGATTGTCATAATTTAACTTGGCGCCTTTTGAAAACAAGATTCCAATTCGTATTCAAGATTTAGTTTGTCAGGTTTCAAATAGAAAGCACATATAAATTAGACTGGTGCTTTATAATTTGGTATACATTCTTAGAAAGTGTCACATAATTCCGTATTTATATATGTTTTATGAACTGTAACTTTGGCTAATAAAACATTAATGCTTTAAAAAGAGAATACATTTTAAATAGTTTGAATCATTTAAGGAATGATAACTCATCCCTTAAAAAAATTTGAGTTTGTGTCCTAGATACTTTGCTCTGGGTCAGCAGAGGTCCTCCAGTATCTGTTCTTTTCTGAAAGTAGCTCTAGTCCCTCAGGCCAGTCCTGGCCAGGCAGGTGCTCAAGTATAGGTTTTCAAAGCAGCCCCTAGGTGTCTCTGCTGGTTGCTTGGGATCTTTCCTCACATTTGTTGGTTGTTAAAGGTGGAGAGTGTGCAGAGGGTAAACAAAGCTTTGTTCCCTAAATGCCAAATAGTCTTCCAGGTTGTTCAGAATGGTGAGCACTACTGCTGTAAGAAGTGTTACCGGGCTCAGGTCCAGCTGCTGCCTCCTTGAGAAGGAAGGTAAAAAAAACTCAGAAGTCAAATGGTTGGTGTTAGAAAAGCAGATATATTCAGCTGAAGGAGACAGTAGTCTATCCCATCTCAAAGATTTACATTTACTGAGGGGTTTTTAAAGGAAGGGTTGAGGGAATGGAATGTGGGAGGTGAAAATCAGGAGAGCAGGAGATGTGAGTTACAAGGGGTCTGTTTCTATGGGTCAGGTACAAGGTCTTGCCAGGGCCTCATCTGGTTTCTGTTCTCATCTTCGCTGTTATCTCAGGACACTGCAAGATTTTGATTTGCACTGGTGTACTTGGCTGGTACCCAAGGTCAGCTTCAGTCATTTGGACTTGATCATTTCTCAAAACTCTACAAGTCTCACAGAAAGTACTGTTAGCTTTGCAAAGTACTAATTAGCTTCTTGGCCTTGTTTTCCTACTTGGCGAGTGAGATAAGAAAGTCAGGGGATGGGAAGAAAGAGTGGAGAGAAAAAACTGTCCTTTTAAATATCCTCCACCCCCCTGCAGCCCAGGCAGCTTTAGGTCCTAACATGGCTTCAGTCCTGCTCACTCCAACAGTAGGAGAGTCTGGCCTTGGGAGA